TCATGGCTGGTGAGTGCAGCGGAGGTGGCAGGAACCTCCGCGGCAGCACTGAGGAGCAGCGAGCCGAGTGGTAGGGAGCAGCAAGCAGGCGGGCGGTAAGGAGCGAGGGGTCCCAGACTGTGAGAGGGCACAGGCCGGGCTGAGGGATTCCCCCCACCCCCAGTGCACGAATTTCGTGCACCGGGCCTCTAGTTAAGTATATATTTCACAGTACAGTTTTTTTAAACATATATTTACACCTATTTACTCTCCATCTCAATACAAATATAGAACATTGCTCATTTTAGGAGGCTACCGTGGGCTCCTTTCCCATCAATACCCATTTCCCTGCAGAGGCTCACCACCATCCTGACCTCCAATCGCACGAATTAATTTCACCTGCATTTGTCCTTTACAGAAATATAGAGTCATATAGTTATAGACTGTCAACTTTTCTGTCTGGCTTCTTTCATTTTTCATTGTGTCTGTGAGACTCATCCCTGTGCAGCAAAAGTCCTATCCTTCTCGTTGCTGTCTGGTATTCACACACCACATATTATCTATCCATTTGGGAAACGGCCTGGGGCAGTTTCCAGGCTTTGACCAGTTGGACTACAGCTGCTCTTGTACTTGAATTTGGAAAACATCACACTCATTTATAGTGGGTGTGGGGCTATTTTGATGCCATACTATTTTAACCACATTTCATTATTTAAACTTAGCCCAATGCATGAAGAGTTTCAACCTCCTGTTCAATTCAGTCACATTTTTTTTTTCTTTCTTTTTGCCTGGTCCTCACAACCTATATGAGTAATTCTATTGAGGCTCTTCCCTAAGATTTAGGGGAGAAGGAAGAGGAGATGCTATCATTACAAACTAGTCTTCTAGTCTCCCTACAAGGCAGCTCCATCCCCCCTCTTTTTGCTGTGAGGGAGATGGGAGGGGAGGTGGGTGTGGGGTCAATGTTTTGAGTACTGGTGCTGTGGAATGACCCTCTCAGAAAGCCCTGCCCCCACTGGTGGCCACCTCAGTGATGGTTCTTCAACTTAGCATAATTTTTCCTGAGCTTGGCCCTACTTGGAAAACAGAAAAGACTACATCATCCCTTGACCATGACCTTCATTGCCCTGCATGGTATAGCCCTGCCTACCTCTCTGACACTATCCTTTCTCTTTGTTCACTTTCTCAGCATATAAGCTTTCCAACTCAGCTTGGGACTTTACACTTGTCTCTCTGCCTGGGACATGTTTCTCCCAGACCTTTGCTTGGTTTGCTCCTTCTTTCCAATTTGGGTGATCCCTCCCCAGAAAGGGCTGCTTTCACTCTTTAACCTAAACGAGCTCCCAGTGCCCTCACCTGCACACTCCATCACATCACAGTGCTTTATTTGCTTCATGGCATGTACCAATCTCTGAAATTATTTTGTTCATCCATTTGTTTGTAGTTTATCTGGCTTCCCAACTAGAACGCAAGCTCTATGAGAGTCAGGACATCGGGGGTTGTGCACTGTGATATCCCCAGCAATTAGAACAGTCCCCGGCATGTAGCTGGAGCTCAATGACGGACTGTTGAGTTTTCTCTTCTAGCCAATCCCATGAGAGAGGAGCCAACCTTGCCCCATTTTACAAATGAACTTCAGAGATGGAGAGGCTGAATCCCTTGGCTAGTGAGTGAACAGGGAGAGCAGATATTTGAATCCAAGTGACTCTAATGGTAAGTCCCTGCCCATAAACCAGGATCTACTCCTGAAGGTGATGTGCCAGCCTTTACAACTTCAGGGAGACTGATAAAGCCAAGAATGAATTTGAACTTCAGCAACAGATGCCGCCTCTCACCTTGTGTAGGTCCTTCACTCGAGGAGGTAAACTGTCCCGGATCCTCCGCATTGCCTGCAGGGGAGGCTCGTTGAAGTAGGGGGGCTCGCCATCAATCATTTCTATCACCATGATCCCCAGAGACCAGATGTCCACCTGTTAGGCACAACCCACTGGTTATTTCAGGCAAGGAGAACATTTTTCAATGTTGGATGGGTCCAGAGAACCAAATATATTTATATTTATTCATAAATTAATGTGGTTTTTTAAAAATATATTTTTTATTGATTTCAGAGAGGAAGGGGTACCTGCTCTCTCTGAAGATTCTTTGCAGATGGGTTCTAGAGAAACACTAGCCTCATAAAGACAATGGAGCAAAATTCAACAGAGCTGGAAGCCAGTGCCCTTCACAGCATCATTTATAAACATATGTAATGGTTAAAAGCCTTTCAAATGGCACAAGAAGAATTCTTCTAGTGACACAAGGGTCAGGGCAGGTGACTGATGTAAAGCAAAATAGCTACTTAACTCAAATGTTCAGCAATTACAATATTCCATTGCTGTGGTTTTTTAAAAATATATTTTTTATTGATTTCGGAGAGGAAGGGGTAGGGAGAGAGAGATAGAAACATCAATGATGAGAGAGAATCATTGATCAGCTGCCTCCTGCATGCCCCACACTAGGGATCGAGCCGCAGCCCGGGCCTGTGCCCTGAACAGGAATCTAACTGTGATCTCCTGGTTCATAGGGCAATGCTCAACCACTGCCCAGGCTATGTGGTTTTTTACAATATTCCAACATTTTCAACACAGACTCACCGGCTGAATCACTGAGTTACCAAGTATTTGCTAATGGACTTCATTTGCTTTTTTTCCCCTTTATTGATTAAGATAATACAAATGTGTCCTTATCCCCCCATTGTCCCCCATCCTCCCACT